GGGGGGGGGGGGGGTTCAAGTCAAGTATAACTTCTGTCAACAAAAGACAGGGTGGCTGCAGGAGACAAATATCGGAATCGAAGAAACACTCGGAATACTGTATCGATATTGGCGAACGGTCCCTAGATGAGTTGAATAGTCATTAAAACGCTATTCCGTAATCATATAAATCAGCTTCGAGATGAGAAGAGAATGCGAACAAAAGGACTCATTGCAAGCCTTTGCTAGGATGAATGATGCTGCGAGTAGGAGGGATGGATACCCATTGCTATCAGCCAGTCTTACCACGCGAACTCAACCTACCCCGTTGTTACCGAAGCGTCCAAGATGATAAGACTTATGGTGGCTTATGCGCCTCTGTGCTGTCTGTAAATTACATGCACCAATCAAACATTAAATTCAAAATCCACTACTACGATCCTTTGTGTGACTGAGAAAAGCTTGGGTTCCTTCCAAACTAGATTGATCAACTCCAACTTTCTTCATCCCTCAAGAGACCTAGTGAGTGACCGTAGGAGAGGAGCTAAGAATGAGAAAAATCCTTCTCCTCAACAGGAGCACAAGTAAGAAATTATGTTTTGCGAAATACCCGGCCACTTATTCATTTACTAGCCTGGGCTTGCACGAGTAATATAATACATGCAAGACATCTTTTTCTAAAAAAAGAAGACACGAAAAGACATCAAAAAAGACCAGACATTTTGAAATGCTCACCCCTCTCAGAACTTCCATTTTCAGCATACTACAAAGGCATAACGATGGAAAATGTTGCGAAGCTTTTTGGTGTTGTTGAAATCTGTCATTGCATCAGGAAGTGCGCTTAAGTATCTACGATTTCGACGGCAGTGAACTTTCCAAGAAAATTTTTGATCTCTTTCTGAGGTGCCTAACGACCGAAACGTCACATACCGCATTCAGCAGTGTCGCTGTTCGCGGCACTAGGTAATATAATACAAAAGCGATCCCACTCCTAGTTGTTCTTTTGAGTGGATGGGTTTGGGAGATGTTCGGGCATCGAGGCTTTGGTAAACACAATCATGTTCGCGTGTGAAAAGGAGCGAACGAATCGGTTACAGGAGTGAGCCCTTTTCGATGAAGGCAGGAGGAGCATAAGCATGTCAGTCTGTCGTTGCTCATTGTGGGGCTCCAAGATGGATGATGAAGAGGTGGGGTGTTCTCACTTGAACCCAGCTGCCCAGCTTATTCCAATGCATTCTCATTGCTCCATAACCCGGAATCGACTTACTCCTATACATATAAGCCATCACATATGTGCCCAATATGTAACTCGCATTGATGTGAAATGAACTGTTTCATCTCACAGCAATATCAGTTCTATCTTTTTCTGAAAACAAGCTCGGCTTATTCCTATGCATTACACACTCACGAATGGTTGGTGTTCAGGCTTCCCCTCTCCAGGTATCGAGTCTTCTTGCTACGATTGTTTCAGGATCGAGGAAAAAGCCCATCTAAAATAAAGAAGAAGGAAAAAAAGTCGCCCAAGAGCGACGGTCAGGATCCGAAATTTTCCCCAGGGTAATCATTACTAGCTTTCTTTCTCCATTCCATTGAGGCTTTTCTTTCAAATACCATTCCTCAGAAGATGAGGCTACATACGAGCGTTGCGAAAAGATGGAGACTGCTGGTTTTCATCCATCTGTAAGAGCTCACTGGAGGTGCACTCCATGCCTCGTTCTACTAAACCCTCTCGATCCCTAGTTGCCAGCTCAAGGAGGACAAGACGATTTGCTCTGGATTATACATCTAATAACCTTGCTAAAGTAAGCTCGGCTAGAAGAGTGACATCCAGAAGAAACGGTGGTCAGAACAACTGAGTTTGACTCAACCAATATATTATCAATCTTCTGGAGATATGAGCCAAGGGGATATCTTTCTGCACGTCTCTTCATCCTGTAAATGGTTCACCGTCAATCTGAGTGTCTGGGCCGGATCTACAGCAAACACCGACCACGCGTCCTTTCGCATGTGTGCTCATCCCTCAGAAATTGTCACTATTGTATATCTCACTTATGTAGGTATGATATATCAACGGAAACTCGTTCAAATCGACACATACGGTGCCCACTCTGGTCACCCCTGCATCCTTACGAATCAAGGAGCGTGCGACGAGCATGGCGAAGCTCACGTACGCAGCTAGCTTAATACATCTCTACGAGGATAGAGGCTTCTGCCCCTAATCACAAACTTAACTCATACTCAAACTGACGTACTGATCCACCTTTTGAGTGAATGATAAGCCATGCTCGTTGCGAGGTTTGCCGAGCTGGGGAGAGGTGAATGGCCCAGCTATTCCTTGTAGTTAGGAGTAATGTTACCCAATGTTGTTGCGAATGGTGCCGCGTTGACCTCACTACATTCGTAGGAGACGGCGATAAGGATACCCTGACGAGTGAGGCTGCTTTCATAGTCCGCGATTTGGCCGCGAGCGCGCGACCGGGGACTACTCGTCCGGCGGTATCGACCAAGATTCATTTGTAAACAAGGGGCAAGCGCCGTCCCCAGTCGGTCGGTCGCTCGCTTGCTTGCCAGATCGCGGAATATGAAAGCAACCTGAAGGAACTTCTTCCCGAATCCCTACGGCCAACGGCAGTAGTTCTGCGGCGACTGCCGTATCCTTTCCTTGAAAATTCGAATCTTTCTGTTCAAAGCGCAGTATCGAATGCAGCGAGCCCGACACACCGTTCAGTGAGGAGATACCAGACCCATCCCTGACTCTTGATTCTCGAAATGATAACCAACCAGCTTATGCGTCCTCTGTTTTAGTTTTGACTTCAGGATTTATCAGAGTCTCTGGAGCATCAATTTCACCTCTATTTTCATACTCAAGTAAAACTCAGCAAGTTTAAGATCACGTTGAAATGTGTAATTTTTAGATCGGAATCTCGGAAAAAGGACAAACCGTAAGTCTGACCAATTTATTGTTAAGCTGGCGTATTCGTGCGAGCTCAAATATTCTTTTGAAAGTAGTAGAATCACTTGCTATTCCGCCTTTTACTACGCAGAACAATCGTTGGATGTGGAAACCAAGGTTTAATATATCTTTGTTTATCATTGTTCGTTTCCAGCTTGGCAGATTCACCTGCAAATGACCTGAAGAAGTTCATCAAACGTAAGTTCTTGTCCATGACCGTACTGGACAAAAGAGCACCAACCCGCGTCCTGCATGTTTCCCGTTACTCGGTCCGATTGTGGTTGAAGGCACATTTCACGATAACTTTTGGTAATCCAGATTATGACGAAAAATGGATGATATTATGGAAAATAGTGCGATGAAGGCGAGAAGACTACGTGAATCGGTGTTTCCAAAGTGAAAAAAGGCTTCCAAAAATCGTTAAAAGTTGGGCTGGATGAGATTGATACCAGTTAAATGAAGAAGAGTTGTTATATTATCTATCGTTACGTTTACAGCTACAATCCTACCTCATCTCTCCAACTTAGCGCCAATAACACCATAGACCCAATTTGTGAATTGACACTACATAATCTATAAGGCCTTCAAATAGTATTGTCGACTTTCCACTTCACCACTTGCCCTCCCCGAATTTCAGGCCTGTCGCCCACCATTAGTCCTCCCATCCTGCCCCCTGCATCTCTACCAAGTGGGAAGACTCAGGTCCTCAAGTCCAAATTAATTACATTCGTGGGTACTTCGCCTCCTCTGGGCGGATTCTACACCTTTCAACTGCCATTATTGTTCCCAAACTGCCACCAGCATCCCTAACAAATTTAAATGCCCCAGGTCCAAATTACGATTTCCGCGCACACCTCACCCTCAGTGGGCGGAGTTTGCATCTGTCACATGCCATAGGTGTCCTATCTTGCCCCCTGTATCCCTTCCAAGTTTGAGCAGTCCAAGCCCACGAGAACAGGGGTTATATATGTCCGGTAAATTACGCTTCGCCAGCCCCACCACTCGTGGGCGGAGCCCAGCTTGAGACACGTGTTTTCAAGAAGCTCGGCTAACTCCCATTTGTTCCAATCTTTCTGAGCTGTTCCACTTCGACTTCTAGAAGGCGCCATATAAGACGCTTACAAACAGGCAAACCGACAAACAAAGACAACATGATGAATGACCTGGCTTCGGAGCAGAGGAGAAGGAAACGCTTAGTGAGGGGGGCATTCAAAACCATCGACGAGCGTGTGGTGAAGAAGACGAAGAGCATCAGGGTCCGCACCCACTCCTGCAGAAATGCACGAACGAATACCACAACCACTGTTTTTCTCGTCGCTGGATTCGTTTGAAAGCGCTTATTACTTTTTCATCATCTCTCAGATGATGAAAAAGACACAGATGCCACAAAGGGGTCAAGGAGCTAGAGCTCCTAGGTTGAGAATTGCGTAATCAGTTAAAGCTCTCTGATTGCCTCGAGATAGTTGTACTCATGAAACGCATCGTACTCACTTTTGCTTTCCCTAGCTTCATGAAGCTGTGTTACATTAATGCTTACCTATAGAATGTAAGCTGAATATCAAACCATGTAATCAATTCCAGGATCAACCGGGAAAGCACAGCCAAGTGCCTTTGAAAGTCCTTTGCCAAAAGAGCTGAAGAGCGCCCCTTTCTACCAAAAAGGCATTGCAGCATTGGTAGCAAAAGTGAGAGGCAGAAAGAAATCTAAGAGTGTTGGTTCTTCTTTCTTTCAATATTCTCTGACATCCAATTAGTTAGACTTGCAAGTAAGTCCCGTCATAGCTCTCATAAGCGGCATTTTGGCGAAATTTTATAATAGGCACCAGGTCAGGCCAGGAACGGCGCCTACACAGCTACTAAGTGGATCCATTACGCATGGATCATATCGCACTCGTATCGCAAGGAAAAAACATTTGAAAAACGTTAGGTTACGGACATACCTCCTGTCCATACCTGCATCTTGCAGTTGTGAAGATCTCAGATTAGCCTGCTTGACTGCAATCGTACATGGTCCCTATTCATTAGGATCCCCCTGAAAAGCTCATCTTTTGAGAGTACCGATAAAGATATTTGAAGCCCGAGTCTTCGCTCAGGATCATAAAGATGATGGCCGTGATCGTGGTCTTCCAACCCGCGGCGCACTGCTGGTCTAGTCTGTTCGAAGTTACCTTGTTACACTAGAAAAAAAGCTTTCAGAGCAAACGCTGTAAGGAATCTCGAACTCACGCGGAACTGTGAACTTCTCTCTTTCATTTTTTTTGATAAGCCGCTCAAAAGTTGGGAGTCGAGATACTTCTCCCGAAAATCGTGTCGCGCTCGCCACATTCGATCGCGCGGAGTTGTTCAGCATATGGAGTTCTACAAGACGGTACTAGAAAAATCTGCAAGAGCTGCTTTATGAAACAGCTTTATTTTCAAGCACTTTCTCACTTCTCTCTCATCTTAGTCTTACGATTAGGGGATAGCCACAGGACCTTACGAATGGTCCCGCACTGAAGACAGTAGTCCGCAGGGACTTGATACCAGGTAGGCCCTTCTCTATTTTGTCGCTATTAGGGAGAGAAAGGTGTGAATTCAAATGGAAGGAGCCGCTGAGGAACCACTACAACTTGCTGTGGGAATTTGAGGGGAACTATCGCCGCCCAATATCACACATCCTTTGGTATGAGTAAAACATTATGTTGAAAGCCAAAATAGAATCAAGTTCTCTTTATATGGTGATCTTGGTATCAAAGGATAGCATTTGTGGTGTTATCAACCAGTATATTTGCAGTTGGTAGTTTGGTTTGATAAGGAGGTAAAAGATAGTCAACACACCAAGATATTTAGCGGGGATAGTTAGGACGACAAAACAGAGAAGACCCTACCTGTAATCAAGTCCTTACAGACCACTGTCTCGAGTCCGGGATCATTCACAGGTCCGGTGGCTATCCTCCTAAATTAAGAGGAGATATCCTGGAGAAGATGCCTCAACATGAAGCTGTTTCATAAAGTAGCTGTCGCAGATTTTCCTAGTACCGTTTTGTAGAGCTCTATAAGCTAGACAATGGTATATGCTACTCTGAAAACTGAATTTGGAACCGATTCATAAAGAGAAAAAAAGGAAAGAAACAAGAGTTTGTATTCCCCGTGAATTCAAGATTCCATACTGCAGACAAGTTTATACACCGACCCCAATGAGCTCCAAGCGGCAACTACATATACATATATGTACCTACTTAGTCGCGGCATCAGGGAAAAAGCACGGCAGATGAATGCCCATCTGAGAAAAGAGGCGAAGACGATTTCTGCTGATAATATACTCTATGTTGAATCGTTCCTTGCTGAACAGCTTTAACACAAGGTTCGTACATTTTCAGGAGAGCAGAAGCTTAAGTATGGACGAAATATCGTACCCGTCTTCTGAACGGAAAGTTCGTGGCAGAAAGGTGGTGCAATCAGATGAGGTAGGGAAAGCCGACAGCCAATAAGGTCTTCTCCCATGCATGCTATGTGCCTACTAAATGTGCTCTCTAAAGTAGTTTGTCTACGTCTACGCTACCCCATGGATCAGTATTGAAAGCATATTTTGTCTTTGATCTAGAAAAGTGAAGCGCAGTCAAAGAAACAAGTAGAGCTATCAAGGAAAGGGTAAGAAACAGAGAAGCGAGGGTTTCATGCTGCCTGCGACAGAAACGCTGCAGTTACCGTCCTCCTACGAATGCTAGGGATTACTGTCAGGTAGTTCTGCTCTTAGAAGCTCACCTGTTACAGACTTCACATCCGATTGATTTCCTTAGCTTGCCAGCAGCGGTTGTTGTGCAAGCTCAACCAATGAGGTCAAGGGGGGTGCTCAATTCTTTTTCATCACTTTTTCTTCACTTACTGCCTTAGATGAAATATCAGAAATCAGGTATCAGTCTTTTAGCATTGATCCATCCCGTATTTGAAGAGCGCATTCGATTTCCATTAAGCTCGTTGTGGCATTTTGAATGTGTATGTGGCCTATAAACACAGTGACCTGCAGGGCAGCCAATACGCAATGTGCTTTCATCCTCCCAGACGAGGCTAGATCCAACTAAACGGCCCAGGAGGGATAGGAGGAATAGTGGCATAGGCGTGTACCCGGGATATGATCCCTGGACCATACGTAAGATAGTGACCGTCTGTAATCACACCCTTTCTCAAATCTTTCGCAAAAGGTCTTCACTCCGCTCACCATGCTGCTGTGTCCTCCTCTCAATCTGAGCCTTCACAATCAGCACATCTAGTTTTCTTAACCCATCACCATCAGCTCTTTCCAAACAGGTCCCAGCATATTTCGCTTATACCCAAATGATTATTCATTACAACCACTAGAATTTATTACTTGCGACGTTTCTGCGTTCTAGTGGAACATATCCAATGCTCTGGAAGAGGCAAAGTTTACTCATCGGTCCTCTTGAAACCAAATTACGTGCCTTCTCGATTTGACGCCGTCCATATCGTTGGGGGACCATGATAGTGTGGCACGTGTTCAGAGTACAAGGATCATAGACAAGGGCTTGAAGGACAAGAAGAGGCTCACTCGCTGTAGGCGGAGATGGATTGAACATCAACAGAAGGGGGAACACGAACAAGGAGAGCGTTCCTGAAAACAGCAAATATGCTCACGCACTAATCATCCTGTTTCCTGAGGTGCCACATCAAACACGACTAGAGATAGATTGTGCGTAGCACACCCATTCGTCTACGAGCTAATCATGCGCACATGAAGAAATTCCTTTTATACGCTATAGAGGACTTACCAGGTCTTCAAGAAAGCTCTTGCGATTTCTGAAATTCATTTTCAAACAAGCTCATCTCAATTTTAACATGACCTCATTGATGGAACTAAAAGTCACTGGAAGCAACATCAATAATAAACCCTGTAGTTATGGACGCAATGATGCCAATGGGTGGTTCCAGAACCTTTACGGCTCCCAATGAATGTCTCTNGTTCTAACAAGGCCTCATTGATGGAACTAAAAGTCATTGGAAGCAACGCCAATAATAAACTCTGTAGTTATGAACGCAATGATGCCATTGGGTGGTTCCAGAACCTTTACGGAATCCAATGCATTTCTCTGTAGAGCCGAGACGCTTGGAAAAATGGTAGTTAGCTGGTGACGGGCCCCATGAGTATAGTGGGTAGGGCACGGTATTATAGTCTAGATTGCTCGACCTCTGCAAGTTCGTATGCGCCACTTGTGGCGTTGCGTAAATCTTCGAGTTAAGTTTTTTTGTTATCAAAGGTCAGGCACATATGCTGCAGTTTTGTTGGTGCATTTTTGTTGGTGAACCTATGGTGGATAACACCTGCTGCGGACCTTGAAGCGCTTATCAGAACATTTTTTTGGGAAAATGTGATGTGAGAGTATATTAGCAAGCCTAGTTTTAGTTCAAGTACTGAGAGAAGACTCCCGCTGTCATAGAGCCCATGACACCTTGGAAAGCCACTCACATAATTATCGAGTTCTCGACAGCTATTCTCCAGCATGTGATAAAATTTGTTGTATACACTATTTTCATTCCTTCAGGAAGCTCTCAAACAGCAGTATGGGAATGGGTCTCAAAGAAGACATTTGGATTTTGCCGACATCGAATCGCCGACTATTGCGCACTCGCTAAGCACTTCATGGCCTTCGTCACCACAGCGGGCTTTACTAGAACCTATCATTGGTGATTTTTGGGCAAGTGTAGTATGGATAGCGCGAGCCGTCTCTGCAGATTACCGGCTCAGCTCAAACTGGAAAAAGAAAATTGGTCAAATTGACCTCCTGCTCATGTTACATTCAAAATTTTGAATAAATCAAATCAAATCGTAAGAAAAATGACTGATCGGAAGAGAGGAGTGTAAAAGCACCTCTCAAGATGTTAGAATAAAATACCAATCAAAACACAACCAGCAAAAAGGCAGGAGCCTCCTCGATAGCATAACGCTTTCAGATCAAGAGAACAAACTCTTTGTCATTGTTAGAACTTTTTGCCTTACCTTTTAATCGACCACTTCGATCGGTTTCTACGCTTTGTTTTCAGTCGAGCCTCTAGAGGTAGAGAAAGAACTAAAGGGATGGGGAGGGAGGTAACTCCCATAATTTCTGAAAACCGGAATTTCCAGTGTTTAGATGTATTACACATGTTCATAATGCCGGTTCACTCCAGAGTGGTGAAGGAGAGTCGACGCTGTTAATGTACGACACCTGCGCGGAGATTTCGACCATACAAGATGTGAAGCAGGCAAGGCTGGCCTATAGCGGAATGCCTATCGTAACTGGCAACAACTGTAATGGCAACAAGCTTTTCGTCGACGACATGCCATTCTGGTGGAGCGACGAGGTTTCGGTGAGTCTTCATAGAAGTTGCTGTAGATTCGCACAGGCTGAAGATTGACTGAACACTGAAGGATCGAGGAGCTTTACATCTCTTCTAACTTCACCATCATTCCGGATGTTTTGCTAACGCCTGTGCCTTCAGCTGTCACTGGTCGCACTTTTCACGGCTTTTCCATTGTTGGACTCATGAATTGCATACCGAAATTCGAATCATTCGGAAAGCTTAGAGACATCTCTATTTTGAATGCACTTTAGATGTGGAAATCGGGGTTGTTGGAGTTTAGGGAGCTTATAAATGAAAAAAGTGGAAGTCACACCCGCCAGCATACTCGATGCTAATCGGTGTTGCAAGCAGCGACAGCACAATATCCTCCCACATCAATTCCAGCATTCGGATGAGTATTGTATCTACACTGACCCACTAGGAAGGTTAAACGCGAGTGAACTCAAACAAATTTGGTTACATTTATGAGGCTCTTAGGCAACAGCGCGTTGGCAGTCAGACCCAAATAACTCCGGCTCCAAAATGTCCGCTTTTTGGGCAGTTTCTTCAAAGTCTGACTATTCCAGCTTTCGTTCTGAATGGAACTATTTTGTTTGTAACCTCATCTGATTAAAAGCGACTCATAAATGCATCATGCCCTTCCAGGATATCACAGATAGTGAGCTAGTGATGAATGCATCTGTCCTCATAGAAGCATTGGAAGGCCGCCTAAAGCTTGTTCCCATGCCCGATGTGGAGTCAGTTTTTTTTTGTGGAGTCACGGTGAGGAATGTTCTGAACACTACTTTTAGGATAGTGCTAGATCCTATAGAAGATGTTACAATACTGCGAACAAGAGACAAACTTTGCTTCAGAAGAGAGCACATTTTTGGGAACACGGTTCGAAGCATGGTGAACTTAAACGGTGAGCGACCCTTTGACGTTCAGCTGAATGCAGCTGCTCCGTCTCTAGCTCGGTGGAATATTCCTGGAGCTAAATCTTTGAGGTTTGTCGCGTTCATCCACAAATAACATTCAACACCGCTCACCATGGAGGTTCCACGGAAGCCGATGTCTTTTTCAGCATATACCATGGCAGTTTGTATGAATTCAAATCATAAAGTTGTAGCTCGCATACCAAAAATGATCAGCATGGAGGAAATTATGCTAATTACTTTATACTCGGGAAGTTTCATACGTTAGGGATCGATGATAAAGCAGGCTGGCGAAGAATAAGACAGCGTTGCCTAAAGAGATTTCAGAAAATGTGCGGCACCGCTGTGTTGAGATCGGCTGTGGCGGAACGAACAAATTAAATGGAGTTTTTTGAATCAGCAATCAACGAACTTACAACGACAACTTACAACTTACAGCGACATTGCGCCAGCGCTAGGCGCGACTCAATGGTTAACGTTATACAAGGGCAAAACGCATAGGTATCCCTGTTTCGACCGATGCATTGAGTTCCGCGGCTCGACGTTGGCCCCACTTGTTCCAGACCACGTGATGAACAGAACGACTACGCAAACAGCGTAGTAGTGGTGGGTAATGGTGACAATAATGGTGCGCTGAGAACTTGGCATTCATAAGCTCGGTCGATGAATCAAGTGCATAAGGATTCCAGGAACAGTCGAAGAGTGGTACGAATAATAGAAAGGGGTTAAAGATGATCAGCGATGGGGTAGGCAGTAGACGGGGGTGGGCGTAGCGATGCAGTACGTACAGATGCGACGAAAGCAGATTACTTCGGTGTGTGGGGTTCCAGTACTATGAAGTTAGTTCTTGCGCTTCTTTAGTGCGATACCAGAACAAAGAACAGTGTTATGGCTCCCACGGCGAACGTTGCAAAAAACTGTGCACCGTGATCGGCGTGAAGGCACCAGCTACAAAGGCGTAGTTCCGCCATTTGCATCGCGCGGCTCGCCGGGTCTGAATACCGATGCCATCGCCCCGTGTAGTGGCCGATGTTGTCGGTTATGGTACATAAAACGTAAGGTGATTTGGGAGCGCTCCATCAAAGTAGGTAGGCTTTCATTTTAGCAGTCAGCAAATAAAGTGATTCAGGGCGATTGGTAATCATTTGAAGGCTATAACCGATAAGTTCAAGTGTTCAGCCGACATCTCTGAAATCAAATTCAATGTGCGCCTGCGTCGAAAAAAAAGCGCACTTCGATAGCGACCGCAAAAATGGTTCCATATTAACCACTCTGCAGTCATAGGTACTACTTGCTCATCTGACGGTGCAAGATTGCAGTTGATTGAGCTGTTGAGATAACGCTGCGGATGACACATTTAAGAGATGCGTTTGCAATCGTGACGATTCACTCGGTTTTCTATTACCTTTATTATTTTAGTGCAAGGTTGTTCGTAGACGTGCATGAAATTATGAGCAAGTTGTCTTATACCGCTTCACACGGTTTGGCGTTCTTCTTCGCCGTGGGCAGGGAGGACATTCCCTTAATAACAATGGCGCGTGCACCAGCCACGTTATCATACTTCGTTGGAAGGAACTCAACCACTCATTGATAATTTTCCGGGATCACTCGTATGCTCTTCATGGCATTAGCCACTTCCCCGAAGACTTCTTCGGAAGTATTATTTTTTCCATAGCATTCAGAGATGGGTTTTGGTGGGCCCTTGTACTGTACATCGCGCAGAACTCCTGCAAAATTAATTTCCTCGAAAAAGTGAGGAATATTCATCGGAGGGAACCTAATGAAATTGCATTCCATGCGTGTCTGTGCCTGTCTTGGCGTCTTCACCCGAAACCTTTTCGACATCATCGGCGTTTCTTGAGAAGGGCCAGCTGTCGCCTTCCTAGTTTTTTTTTTCAAATGCAGCTGCACCTAATGTATCCAACGAACCTTTTTGGAGCAATTCTGCTCAGAATTCGTCTACAATCGCATTTCACTTCCTCAAAGCGAGTTTGTAGCGCTGTTAAAAGTGCATCTACTTGACTTAGCGCCAAATGCGAGCAATCTCACTTTCTATGGTTTGGACTTCTTCAAAGAACTCTTTGCGTTCCGATATTTCCGAACCTGATTATTCCCTTTGGATACTCTCAAGTATGTCCAAAAGATCACCAAAGAACCACTTACTTTTGATATGACTTCTTTAATTGCCGAGGCTGTGGCAACGCAGAGGTCTATGCGTTCTGCATTCCCAGAAGGATATTACGGTTCATCAGCTCGAAATTTATTAATCTGAAAGGTCAACGCGCCTGTGACTTTAATCTGATACTTAACTTTTGAGAGTAAAATGCCATGGTAGAGTAGTGATGGGCCGACAATCATGTCGACGTGTGCTCTTTCTCTCACAGAGTCGGCGGAGTGGCGGGTTAACTCACCTGGTCACTTGCCTGGTTTGTCAGTTCGGCAGAAATGAAAGGATTGATGAATGGGCGACACGACTAGTTCAAGATCGTCGATGCAACAAATGTACAGCGCCGTTGTGTTGAAGTCGGTTGTGGTGGTTCAGTCGGGTTAAATATAGCTGTATGAAACGCAATCAACGAGCTCACAAACTGAGCGGACGCAACCAAGCAACGGCCTGCCGGGTGGGGCGGTCTCTGAGTCGCGTCTCTGACCATGCAAAGTAAAACAGGTGGACGAGGACGCAATAGGAAGTAAATAAATTTCTTTGCTAACAGATGATGATCACTACACGTCGAGGTCCGCGATTTGATTGTGGTCACCCATAATCCTTATTCCGGCACTAGTCTATACCGCAAACGTGACTACTGACTCCTCATGATGACTCCTTATTGAATTGCTGTCAGACAAATCGCTGAGACGGCCTGAAGTCAAAGAGCGAATGATATGCTGTCTTATATCCCCCATGCGTAAGGTTTTATGAAAGACCACTCAATTATGTCACCATATTCACAGTCGCAGTACCGCATGAACAAAGTACAAAATTGATCATTAACTGATAACTAGTGATGGAGTGTGCCTGGCTACCAATCCCTGGTAACCCAGTTTCGAGTTCTCATTCGATTATATGTGTACTTGCAAACTTATGTAGCCGCTTATTGTTATTTCCTAAGTGTAGGTACCTCGATTTGCGGTTGGTTTTCCATATCCTTTTATAAGAATCGGATCATTCTCCAAATTTAAAAGGGATCAGTGGCGAGAAAACCTATCGACCACCATCAATATGGAAATCCCCTACCAACGGCTCATATCTATAAAAACAAAAAAGGCCGTGAGTGACCCCTGATAATGGTGTTGCCATTAGTGTGCAACGTTAGTAACTCACCTAAACCAATCTGTGTGGTCAATGCTTCTGCTCGAGCATTAACCAAGCAGAGTGATTTAAGATTTCAGTTGCTGATAAGGTTGCTCATATAGAAAATCCACTGCGCCAGTGTGCCCAATGAGGGTTGCTTTTTTGAGATTATTAAGATTAAAAGAAAGAGTTTGGCACTCCTAGTAATAAGGTAAGCATTACTACATATCAAATATCGGTTGCATTGCTCTATTTAGGCCAAGTTTCTTCCTTTTCTAAGTCAAAGATATGGATTCAAATGTGATGGGTGTGAGCTAATTGTACCTTCTGAGCACCCCCTTGCAGCGCGCCTTATTTGGCCCTACGCCGACCCACCGCTCGGCCCAAATGACTTTTTCAGGACCTGGCAGCTCCCAACCTGGGGCACTCACTCGTCATTTCCAGAGCTATCCATTCGATCGCTTCGTACAAGCAGTAGAAAAAGTCAAAGGAAGAAGCAAAAACGATCGGGCACTGACCATATGCAGCCACTTGACATGGAGGAGCCTTCAAGTAGGATGATGTATGTGGTGAGTCCTTCCATCTGCCAGAACCACTCCAACATGCAATTCCATGTGGATTACATATGCTGCGATTTTTCAGCGAAATAACTTCAAAGAAGTGTACAGCGAGGAGTATACCCCATCAAAAACCATTCGATATTCAATTGATCCACCCGTCATGGAGCTGGATCAGTAATAATTCATTCGATCGTGAATTGACAGAATTTCCTTCATATACATGTAATATATGTGTTTGTTTAACAATACTTAATGACCAATAGAGCGAGGTTCTTAATAAAAAGTTCTATGGTGAAATTTGTGTGAACTCTGGTGGAGTGGAAATAACCTATGTACAATTGAGTGTACCCTGATCAGTCTGTACGCGGCGACAAAGAACCCTGCGGTCAACCGCCATTGGTACTTTAAGCTTCCTTACCTCTATGCAAATACAAATTTGGAAACAGTATTCCACGAAAAAGGGACTAGAAAGAAAGTATTCGGAATCTCTTCATCAGGCAACGACGATAATCAGCCCTCAAAAACCTAGGCTATAGAAGAAGCTCGCGTCACCAACATCACCTGGGCTGCTCAGTGATTTCGGTACACGGAACACGAGCTGTCATGTGTTCTAGCCCCTATTCGGGTCTTCTCCGCTAACTACTTTCGAGTGACCATGCAATCGACTTCATTGGAAAGTTGTAGTTGTCGATTTCTTTGCATGTTGGGTGCATACGTAGATTCCAAGTTGATGCCTGTCTTTTACCTCTTTGCTTCTATTCGGGAGCGTGCATGGTGGCCCCCAGTTCATCGCCGCCTCCACGAAAAACAGATTCTGGTTGGAGAAGACGGCCACCACGTGCTCCCGGCAGCTGCCCGCGCAAGCATGGCCCGGCATCTTCCGGGCCGGACTGCCTTATTCTTCTCCGTCAGGCCTAGCATCTTCTGTTATCGTTAGGATAGAGCCCCTGTACCAACCTTCAGATGGACTGTCGCGAGATGATGGGCTCTTTGGCTATTTTCGCACGCTGCGACGAGGACTCCTGTCGATATGCTTCTTAACGGCTCTTCGGTTTGCAGAAGTCGTTGCTGTGCGTGGTCCTCCAAATCGAGTACGGCTGGCAGTAGTACCAGTCTCATAGCAACTCTTGAGAGTCCTATAGACGACTTGGCGGCGAACGGCGAGCTTCTTCGTGGTGAGAGATGGGATGTCACCAGCGTCGTATAAGTGCACCATGGCGTTAACATGGAATTACTGCGTACCATCTTGAACTTATCAGTCGGATTCCGATGAAGTTCAATGGTAGTGATGCAATCATATCATCATCAATCATGATCACTCCAATAATAACACGTCTGATTACAAGGTATCGAATTCACTGTGTAATACTACCCGGGCCAAGTTTTGTTACAATAATTTTAGGCCACCTCATTTCAAAGCGATCGTGGTGTGGCGCACAACGTGACGGTCGCCATTGCGGCACAGCTTTGGCAGTTGAATAATTGCTAGTTTACCTTCTTTTGTTTATCGCCGTGACCGACAAGGAAGAAAAGGTGGCCGAGTCTGTTGCCTGATCCACTCCCTTTCAGTTCCCAAAAATATCGCTCTTGATTACACATGCAACTCTGATGTCTTATCTTTTGAGCTCTGCACTTCTAATGTCCTACCCACAATAAGGTTCATCGCTGTTTACCGTCTTCCTAATCTACTGCAGCTGATGACTCTCAACTTCTCGCTCTGCTTTCTGATTTGAGCTCTATGGGCGCAATACCATCCTCTTAGGTGATCCCAACCTCAGAATGACTGGGAAAAGAATAAGGCTTTTAACTCATCTTCAGCTCTATTCCTGAACTTCTTTGAGAAAGTCGGTCTTACACAACTGGTCTCTCATCCCACTCATGAAAGCAATATTCTAGATCTTATCCTTTCTACTTCGCCAATTGTAACCGACATCACAATTCTATCTCCATTCGGTGATTCTGACCATAATGCCGTTGCATTCAGTGTTCTCCACACTGAATCTATCAACAACTGCCTTCCTATGCCAGATTTCCTTAGAACTGATTTCAAACTTATGAACCTTTATCTACAACGTATAAACTGGCTCACTGTTTTTGATAATTACGTCTCTGCGAGCGGTGTCTACCGATGGTTTTGCTCTCAGACTTACAGTGTCATGTCGTGTTGTGTTCCTTTTAAGCTCCCCCGCCCATCATGGCTAAGCTATTCATGTCACATGCTGAACTTATTCGATCAAAAGCGACGTCTTCTCCTGTCTCATACAATGCAATCACCTTCTCATGAAAGATATGCTCGAAAATTGTTCACCATATTGAAAAAATTTACAGCTGACCAAGAAAGACGTCTGCTTTCCAGAACCAAAACAAAAAAAANAAAAAAAATCTTTCATTACATCAGACAAAAGGCCAAGCTTCGGCCATATGTCCCGACACTATCCAACTCTTCAGGTTCTTCTTTCACCTCTGACAAAGAAAAAGCTGTCGCTTTGGGAGAGTACTTTGCAAGTGTGTTCACAGTTGATAGCACCAATGATGGGGTACTATTGTGCGGCTTTCGTGAGATTCTGCAACGCCTCTCCAAAGTTTTTATTGACCCCCATGAAGTGAGTTTCACACCTTCCACTTCCGAATTTTACGATGGTATTCCTCAGATTTTATAAAGGAAGAAAACCGCTTTTCTTTGTCATCCACTTTCTCATATTTTGAACATATCTATGCTTCTGGGTGAAATTCTTGATG